AACTCAGTAAATTGGAGTGGGGGCTGCGTTGTAACCAATCCCCAAGTGATACTGATGGTACTGTTGGGTGGACCTCAGCCGAGTGACCCTAGATTCGATTCTGGTTTTTACTTTTCTCTGGAGGGGGGAGCGGGGAGCGGGGAGGGAGGGGGAAAAATGAGAAGTTGGTATCAAGGGCTCAAGTAGAAAGAAAATGTTTTGAGAATGATGATGGCAACAAATATACAGATGTGCTTGACACGATGGATGGATGCATGGATTGTGATAAGAATTGTATGAGCCCCCAATAAAATGATTAAAAAAACAAAACAAAGGCCAAGTGCAGTGCATTGAATTATTCAATGTGGCACATGTAGCCGATAGTCTCTGTAACGCTCAACAAATTAACCTTTTCCAGGTGGGTTTGGGTAAGACAAGGTGGGGGAAGATAGTTATAGGATTTAGCTGTGAGTACCTGTTAATAGTATTCATTGTGATTTCCATCCGGTTGGCAAAATGAGGGGAGGCAGGAGAGGGGATCTCATTACCAGCAAGAGAGAAGAGCCAGGAGTGGTGTGTCATTTGAGCTCTGAGATTCCTGTGCATTGAAATAGGAGACACCTAGAGAAACAGCAGTGGTGGAGTAGTAGTGGTAGTAGTAGTGGTAGGACACCTAGAGAAACAGCAGTGGTGGAGTAGTAGTAGTAGCAGCAGCAGCAGCAGCACTGGGAACCAGAGCCATGAGACAAGAGTGGTGGACTTCCCAGCCCACAGAGCAATTGAAACGGAGTGCTTTGGGTCATGAGGCTGGCTTGGGGAGTGGGGTGCCTATGGGCATTTAATCAGAGAGCTGGATTTATTTACTCATGGAGCTGGAGCTGTGTGCCGTCAGACTGAGGCTTATGGCAGAGTGTCATGCCCTTTGGGAATTTATTGGCAGCCATAAAAGAGCTTTGTAATCTTGCCTGAGCAAAGCAGAGACCAGGCCAAGAGGCTGAGACCCAGAAAGAGGTCTGACTGCAGGGATGGCAGAGAAGAAACCAGCCTGACTGAACAACTGTATCCGGAGCCCTTCTCACCTGAATTGTAACCTGTTAAGTCCCCTAATGAGCCCTATAATCATGAGCATTGTCTGTGAGTTCTGTGTGGCCACTGCAAAGAACGTTCAAGCCAAGCTGAAAAGTAGAGCATGCTGAGGGACAGAGTGCCAGCACATGAGCCAGCATCCCCCATGCAACAGCAAAAGCCAACTCCCAAGTCACTGGGATAAAATAACAGAAGTAGATTGTCTAAAGCAGCGGTTCTCAACCTGTGGGTCGTGACCCCTTTGGGGACTGCACAACCCTTTCACAGGGGTCACTGATTCATAACAGTAGCAAAATTACAGTTATGAAATAGCAACAAAAATAATTTTTTGGTTGGGGGTCACCACAATATGAGAAACTGTCTTAAAGGGTTGTGGTATTCGGAAGGTTGAGAACCACTGGTCTAAAGGGTCCAAGAACAAACCATTTGTGTAGATAGAATTGGGACCAACACCACTAGTTCTAGTGGTTTGCACTTGCTTCCCTTCTGCAGAACTTGGAGTTCAGGTTGAAATTGAGACTGGAGGTGAAGCAATGAATCTCCTTCCCTTGGGAATCCTGGTTCTGAAGCATACATTTAAGCCCTATTTCTAAAGGGGAACACAATAAAGGAATGCACTATTGAACCTTTTCTGTGAAAATACATTCATTTGGATTTCTTTGGCAGCCAAGTTGTTGATTTTAGGCAAGCACAAAAGGTTATGTAACAGAAGAGCCCGTCGTGGAGAACCTTGTTTTCTCTCTTGTTCCGTGAACCCTCTATGGGTGTCTTGCTTTGTTGGTGCCAGGTTAGCAGGCTCCACCCCACGCCCTCATGCCCCACCCACCCCCACAGCTGTGGGGAGTGAGTGGTAGTGACATGATCTCAGAAATGGTGGCTCTGGTCAAGGGCGCCCTCCTTCCTTGCTGTTTGACCTTTCCACCAATGGCCAGTGGGTGCTCAGTTCAAGAAAGTCTTTAAGTTACAGAAGCAGAGACTAAAGGCTCCGAGAAGGATCTTAGCTATTCTCTGATCTGACCTAATCATTTCTGTTTTCCTCTGGGAAAACAGAGGTTTCAAAAAGAGAAGGAACATGTTTCCAAGTGATAGAGAAAAATGCCCAAAGAACCCATAAGCAAGATCTCTTGACTCGGAGTCCAGCATTCCTTGATTGTATCTTATTCACATGAGATGGGGATGTTGGAAGAACAAGACCAATATAGACAGTGGGATGGGTACTCATTGCTTAGCCAGCAACCTCAACCCACCTACTGCCATCTAGTCGATTCTGACTCAGCAATTCCTGCCCATCTTACTGTTAGCAGCTCAGTGCCTGAAGGGAGCCACGGGGCGCCTTATTCAGCACGCTCTCAACAAAGTAATAACAAAACAAACTCACTGCCATCGAGGCGATGCCAACTCATGGTGACTCTGTAGGACAGGCTAGAACCGGCCCTGTAGGTTTCGGAGACCCTAACTCTTCACAGGAATAGACAGACCTGTCTTTCTCCCGAGGAGCCGCTGGTGGTTTCGAACTACTGACCTTGCAGTTAGCAAGGTACCCAATGCCACCACAGCTGTTCAGCACCCTAGACACCTAGAAATAATGCATATTGTTTTGCAGCAGGGCCTTTCCAACTCTTATACATGAGGAAATCGAGGCACAGAGATAGTATTTGCCAAGATACCCATAATATAAAGCTAGAGAAACATTCTGGCGTGTGTCCCCTGCTTTCTTTTTAGAAAGATGAAGGGAAAACCTTTCGTTCCTCCCTGCTGGTTTTGTGCTTCCTCCTTGTGCTCAACTGAGAAGAAACAGAAAATCAGGGTCCAAAGGGACACCAAAGGTGAAAAGATGAGGTTATGCATTGGGCTGCTAACCCCAGGGTCCAAAGTTCGAAACCAGCAGCCTCTCTGGGGCAGAAAGACAAGGCTTTCTACTCTCATAAGGAGTTACAAGTCTCAGAATCTCACAGAGGCAGTTCTGCCCTGTCCTATAAAGTTGCTGTAAGTTGGCATCGGTTCAGTGGCAGTGAGTTGGTTGGTTTGGGATGCTAATGATGGTGTAATGCATTGCTGATCGGTAGCAAGTGTGCTCGAGTGTTTTCACACCTAAACGTTTTAACGCATGCTTGTTCTTACATTTGTTTGTGCAGTTTATTAGCTCGAAAACAATATTGGTCTTTCTAGAAGCTGGCTGCCCTGCATAGTTTGGGCTGGAAACAGCCAGCCAGAAAGTATTAAAACCTAAGCTATTCAGGTCACTCCAACGTGAAATTAATGACAGTTGTGACAGGAGCTAAATTGAGGTTTACCTTAGAAATCCAAAGAGAACAAACAGTTGAACAAATGGTTAGAGTTAATGAGATTTAAAGAGCACATTGAGCCTATCTAGGGGAGAACTCTTTCAGGTAATTTAGAAGCACTGTTGAAAGCATGCTCTCTGACTCATCTCTCTCGACTATTTTATTATTGATTGCGTATTTCCCCTACTTGCTCCATAAAGAAGGCCTCTTGAGCGTTTGTCAGGGACTGTTGGTACTCTCATTTAGTCATTCCATGTAAGGTAAGCACTGCAATTAAGTTACACTTTTCTAAAAACAAAACAAAAAGTGTCTGATTCAGAATTTTGTTTTCCTTTGCTTCCTTTCCAATAATGAGTATAGATTACTAAAGCTTTCTTAAACTTGTATTGTGTGTATGTGGGGGGTGGGGTGGTTATGTGTGTGTGCTCTGAGTCATTATGGGTTAGACACTATGACTTGGAAGCCATGGTACAGTAATAGCAATTGTTGCAGTAAACAACTATTTTTCAAAATTCATCTGGTTGTGTGTTCTAAGACTAATAGACAGACTTGCAGTTTTGCCCTAGGTTAGGAATGCTTCTGGTAAAAGAGAATCGATGGAGTTTTGAGTGTCCGCCCAAGGCATCTAGTGAGAAAGTGTTAATGACTTAGCAGTCCAGAACTGGCAAGGAGCTTTGTCTGCTGGAGGAGACCTTCAGCAGAACTTTAGGCGACACAGAAACTAAGCACTTGCTGCTAACTGAAAGGTCAGCAGTTTGAATCCCGCAGCCACTCCAAGGCAGAAAGATGTGTCCGTGTGCTTCGGTAAAGATTACAGCCTTGGAGGCCTCTGGAACCATGATCAGAGTCAGCGTGATGGGAATGGGTTTGGTTTTTATGATTTCGGTTCTAGGAGCTATGGAGGCACCAAGCTTGACTGAAGGCCATGCCCCATTTAGCGGCCCGTTTGTTTGCTGAACCAAAAGACATAGCCAGTCTCTGGCTTACGGTGTGAATTCATAAACATAGATGACAGATGACCTCAGCAGCAAATGGGAACATGTCCAAAGAAAACAATATACACGATGAACCCAAAGAGAGGGGACCTTGGGAAAAACCCAAGGTCTAAATCCGTTTTCACGGTGCAACCTGGTTGTCTGGTTTAAGTGACCTGGATACTTACCCCCTTGTATGCTTACCAACCATGGGAACTAGCTTTGGAGCCAAACCAAAGCCTAATGTCTGAGGAGAACATTGCCAGAGTTGATGACATTTACACAGCATTCTTACACAGCTGTGCTTAGCCTCCATAAGAACTTGTCCCTCCTTACTAATCCTAAACCGCCTTGCAGACATTCTTTTTGTTCTTTTTTTTCCCCAAAGCCTTGTTGAGGTTTAACTAACATGCCATGGAATTCACCAGCGGTCCGTATACAATCTAATGACCTGTAGTTCATTCACAGCATTGTGCAGCCACCACAATGCTGGAAACATCACCCCACAAAGTCCCCTTCTTCCTTATTTCCCATCAGTCCCTGCCCCTACCTCATTTCTTATTGATCGCCCCCATTCTTTCTTCATTTTGAAATGACCTTTTCATTATTGACCCCTGCATTTGTGATTTGAATAAAACAAACAAAATAAGCACGTGGCGATTTGAAGAGACACAGGTTATGTTGAAACGACTTTATTTTTTTTTTAATTCATAAATATCTGTTACTGACAAAAGTGGAAAATTCCTTAAGACTCCATCTTACTAAAGTAATATCGGTTTACAGTACATATAGAGTGTGCTTTGACGGGGTAAGGAGACCGATGAGATCTGTACAGAAGCAGCAGTCGCGAGGCACTGCTTACGTGAAGCTTACTCATGAATAAGGAAGACACAGCAATGGGACAGAGAGGAAGGTACTTCTCTTCAGCACTACCAGATAATAAACATGGAATCCGTCAATTGGGCTAATGCGTAAAAATGTTCATCAATTCCCCCTTAGGAAATCGTGTCCCCCAACTAAAAATATTACAGTAAGAATTGCTTTTTATTAGAGAATTTCAAGAATTCTTGACTACAAAATGTCTAGTTGCGTTATAGAACTAGAAGAGTATCTGCCACTACAAAGCAAACGAATGAGTCCTCCCATGGGAGTGGCATTCAAAGGTTACCGAGGGGGTAGACAGCAAACTTGAGCAAGGGGGTCTTCCTCTCACTAGGGAGGGAGGACGTGAAGGAAACACACGAGATGCATTTCTCTGACACGGAAGGTGATATGCTTGTCGATTTACATGATGGGTTTCATGACACCAACTTGACTCTCCGTTCTTGTATCACAAGCCTTCACAGGAAGGACGGTGGAGTGGCATGAGGAGGGGCTAGGAAGGTCCTAGGGCCAGGTGCGTGCCCACCTAGCAGCCTCAGGGAGTGATGACTCTTTGTCCGAGAAATGGAGCAGAGCCTCAGTGTCTGGACTTGGTGCTCAAGCCACATGTTCTGGAGTGGGGTGTGATGGCATCCGTTGTTACACAGCCTTTGCCTTGAGTTCTCTTGGGCTCAGGCTGCATTTCTGAGCTGCCCTCCAAATTCAAGCATCAGGCCTGCATGGGCAAACCTCCAGACCTTTAGCCTCCAGCCCACCCCGTCTCTGAAATTGGAACCGCCTCCCTCCAGCTATAAGAACCACATCAAAAATGTAAAATCTCAACGCAAGATTCCTCAGAGTCACAGATGGCCAGGATGATGGAGGTGTGTCTATTATGAGACGGCATCCATATTCAATGAGGTGGCTAGGCCTTTAAACTTTCGGGAGGGAGATGATCACTGGGTGGCCCATCCCATCAGGGCCAACCTAGGCTCTGGGGCACAGTTTGATGGTTGTGTAGAGGATGTGCGGGCTGTTGCAGTGGGGCTGACGTTGGGATATGTGCAGCTCAGTTTGGTGGGATGGGTTGAGGAGGGGTATTAACAGGTTAATAGCCTAGGGCTGTAAGAGCTAGGCAGAACTTCAGAACTCATCTAGTCAAAGCCCCTTGCGGTACAGATGGGAAAATTGAGGCACTGAGCGAGAGCGTGATTTGCCCTCGATCACACCCAATGGAGACAAAGCCAGGACTGGAAGCCATGTCTCTGGAGCCCCGGCCCTGTGCTTGTTTGCTCCTGCGGTAGACCGTCTCCCCAGATCCAATCTGGACCCCAGGAAGACCTCTCTTCTGTATTGAACCTGTCATTAAAATGCTACGTTTACAAAAAATAACATTTTTTGGACCCTGAAAAATATTCCATTAAAACTCAATGCACTTCCTTGAAAATACTCCAGAGTTTCCCAGGCTCAGAATGGGTGACAGGAGAATAATGCATGTGGGAAACAACATCACAACCCTCCCGAGGGCAGGCACTTTCTTTGGTCCAGAGGACCAACAACCCTTTCCTATTAGCTGGGGCCCAGCCCACAGCTGCTTGTGGCTGAGGGAATCTGAGGGTGAGAAGCTGGCAGCGGACGACAAGGTAACACTGAAGAAAAAGAAATGTGTTTGGTGGCAGGATGATTGGACGCTTCCACTATGCTTGGGGTGTTGTGAGATTCCCCATATCTTTGGGGACACACGAGGGTCTGTGGCAAGCACAAGTAGGGAATGGTCAAAGTCAAGTGGGACAATGGCTAAGAGCCCACAACAGAATTATGAGTCTTTGGCCAGAGCAGAAGCTTATGGTCTTAGTGGCGAGCTGGATCAAGAGCTCCAGGGGACTTGCCAGCTGCAGAGACTTTTGGCAGTGACCCTTCTGAAAGGGAAGTTCTTCTCCTCTTCCTCCCAAAGATTGGAGGGAGAGTACTTGGCTTGGTGCCCCAGACTGTCACTGGCGGGGACAGGAGGTGAAGGATAAATCAGCGATCCCTGTCAAAGACACAAGGAACATCTGTTTCTTCTGTGGTTTTCTTCCGGAGCACTGATAGGGAGAACAGCACCAGGGAGAAGTAGGTCGGGCAGAGCACAGTAAATGGAAGCAGAAGGGTTGTGCTGGAGGCACAATGAACTGAGGACGAGGCCCAAGTGAGCGAGATGCAAGAAGGAAAGCGTGAACTGACTTAAGATAAGAGCAGGGGAGTGTGATTGTGGAAAGAGAGAAGGAGCTGGAACTTTCTAAGGGGTAGAACGATCACCTAAGACACCATGGGGCCTAGTGAGGGGGCTAGGGAATCCTTGGCAAAGCTGCTGGGGCCCATCAGCCCATGTAGCATTAACTAGAGGAAGGTGCCGTCTATGCATTAACTGGAGGAAGTCGGACAGGAAAGGTATCAGACTGAGTTCACCAGGGCCAGTAAAAGATGGGAGGGGAAACCCTGTGAATCCGAGTGCATTCTCATCAGAGCAACAGGGACGCACAGAGACCGGAGGAACAGAAGGACAGTGTAGGCTTCCACCTTCCCTTGCTGGAGGAGGGGCAGGGGCTCTTCCAGGTGTGGTAGAACCACCAGTCAGGTTGGACTGGAAGTCAGGACACATGGGTTCCAAGCCCAGAACACGCTCTTCTCACTTGTGTGGACTTTCCTTGTGAAGGTGGCCCTGCATGTACTGTCAACATGGACGGACCAGCCGGGTCAATGTGATTTTTCTGTGGTTCCCAGTAGTCTAGAGGTCAAAAAGACGGAGCAGATTTGAGTGAGCTTATAGAATTCTTACTCTTTTCTCCTTCCGTTTTCTTTTCTTCTTCCCTCATCTTTTGTGCCCTGTCTTCTAGACCCAAAGGTGAAACAGAATACAGGCAGTCCCTGGGTTACACATGCCTGACTTACAGACAAGTCCCAGTTGCTTTTTAATGCAGGGCTTCAAACTGGATCTGTCGTGGCTGGGGCAGCAAAACAAACTAACTGGAATGTCTACAATTTCAGTGACTGGTCACAGTAACTGGAATGGAAAAGTACAGGTCCAAGGTCTGGAATGGGCGACTCTGAAGAGATGTAAGAAGCCCTGTCAGGGGCCTGATGGAGGAAATTGGATTATTGACAGGACTATGGAAATTCACACACATTCGAAACCATGAGCATGGCCACCATCTTGGACAGGGGCACCACCATCTTTGTGGATCTGTTTTGATGTGATTTCAATTTGCCCTCACTTTGAAACAGTTGAAGCAACACACACACACACACACACACACACACACACACACTCATACTCCCTTCACTTGCTGTGTGCACAGCTTCTAAGCCATTGCCAAGGCTTTGAATCTTCTCTTTCACAGAAACCCAGCCCGCCCACTGCCACAGAGTCCATTCCAACTCATCGTGACTGTGGACATCTTCCCGAGAGCAGGGAGCCACGTTTTTCTTTCTTGAAGTGGCTGGTGGGTTTGAACCACAGATCTTGCGATTAGCAGCCCAATGCCTTTCCTAGGAGGACTCCCTTTCTTGCATTAAAAGCACAGGTTCCCAAAGTTAATTGGCCTACTGCCCTCTTTTAGCCAAAAGAGAAACCTTGATACTTTACCCATACTCCAAGATAAAGTGTAGGCATCTGCTTATACAACCTTCAGGAACCAACCCTCCGCTCCCGAAACCTAGATCTCTCTCCCACTCTGCAGGATGCAGTATTGCCCGCTTTGGGAAGCACTGCACTAGAGTAAGCCTAAATAAGAAGCCTTTGATTAACACATTCTTCAAAACACAGTTTGGAACTGATCTCATTCCTAACCTAGGGGCTGTTTTACGCCATTTGGAAGAAGTAGGAGAATTTTCCACTGTGACTGACCCCAGACATTTTAAAACAAACAGTGACAAAATTAGGATGAGTACTGTTTTAGGATTAATTTACCAAACAACTCTGGAGACAGAAGGACACCTTGTCAGAGACAGGCCTGGGGAAGGCATCTGAGGCTGGCGAACTTTGTTCTGATAAGATGCTTCCCACGGGACGTCAAGAGCTCATTGGTTATGCGTGTTTGTGTGTAGACAGCTGGGAGACAGGGTTCCCACCCACATCTTTTCTTTCCCCTCCCCACTAACTGACAGTGTTTCAGAGGACTGGCTGAACCAGGATGCACTGGGCTAGGGAGGGACCGCGCCATGAGAAGCCCACCATGTTGTTTGTTTTCCGATGGACTTTCACTAGCCCAGACCTCTTGGCCTTGCCTCGGGAACAATCCCCCATAAACCAGCCTGTGGGGACCCGCCCTGAGGAAGGTTTATGTGTTTGTGGCATTGTGGTGGTGGTGGGGGCAGTATAGCAGTCACAGGGGCAGAGACCTCTCCCTGGTGGGAAACTGAGCGCTATGTCCCTAGTCCCCAAGATTTCCCGGCCTCCTAGGGTGTCTGGTGTGCCATGAGAGGCGAGCTTTGGTGGGAAAGAGACAAGAGCTTTGGGCTGCCTCTGAGATGTGTTCTCTCTCTCTCTCTCTCTCTCTCTCTCTCTCTCTCTCTCTCTCTCTCTCGTGTGTGTGTGTAATTTCTTTTTATAGGTCTGAATAGCGTTTGCAACCTGGCTCCAGCCCGAGCCCAGGCTTCCTCCCAAGCTGCAGCTGTGAGGCAGGCAGGTGAAGTCCCCCTTCCTCCCCTCCACCCTCCCAGGGCCTGGTCTTAGGAAGAATGGATGCTGCTTTTCCATCACATCTTCCAACCCCTGGTTGGAGGAGAAGAACTGGCTGGCCCTGGTACTCCTGTCCCCTTGGTCCTTCGCACTCTGCCCTACACACACAGCCTAGGCCATGGATTTGCTGGAAGCCCGGGCACTCCCTGCTGGTGAGGGAAAGCACCCCTTTGAGCTGCTCAGGAAGTCCCCAGACCAATCAGTGTCTTGGCGACCCTTTAAATATCACTTTGCTCCAGGGGAGGGTAATGGACTTTCAAGAGGACAGGAGATGAGCAGGTGGAATCAGGTGAGAGTGAGCGAGTTCTAAAGCAAGAAGGGGCCCATCAGGTGGGCGGTGACTGGCAGAGAGGAGGGCAGGGGCAGGGCAGTGTCCAGGCCGTTCTCTTTGAGAGCTGAGCCTTCCCCTGCTCCTGCCTGATGTGGGTAGTGGGGGACTGGCAGAGCCCTGGGGGATGGGAATGGAGAGCCCCTAAGGCCCAGGGCATCACAGTGCCCTCCCCAGCCTGGGCTCTCTGGCCACGGCAGGAGCCTCTGGGGAGCACAACAGAACAGGGGAGGCGAAGGCAGCCTGGGTGGCAGGTCACAGTTCGGTCCCAGAGGCCTGGAAGAAGTATCTACATAATCAGGTGGCTGGTAAGGGCACCCCAAGGTCCCCATAAGCCCATCAATACTCTCCTCTGGGAGGACTAGAGCCTTTATTTCCCCCCCCCACACAAACTGAGGGGTGACTTAGCTAGGGCTGGGGGACGAGCAATGTCCTCTGGTCCCCCAAAGAGGGGGTGAGAGGCAATACGGGTGGGGCAGCCAGCTAGTTGGAACCAGGGCAAGTTCCCCAACAATGAAGAGGCAGCTGGAGGATAAGACCACCCCATTTCTTATCCCTGGGCCTTGAGGGAGGAGGCCCGGGCCAGGGCAGGGCCCACTGGGGGCCAGTGCAGGAAGGGGCACACGTGGGGACCCGAGCTCCAGCAGGCAGAAAGAATCATTATTGTGCTTATGGACACAGCAGCTCCCTGGCGCTGCAAGAGCGAGCAGGCAGTTTAGAGGCACTGGAAGATTCTGTGATGCAGTTCTAGGTGAATAGTCAGCCCACTGACTGCGCCCACTGGCTCTCGGCCAGGCTCTGGAGGGGACCTCCTGGCTGAGAGTCCCCAGGAGGGGAGAGGGGGCTTGGATGGGGGCTGGGGACAAGGCAGGGGCCTAGCCCCTTTCCTCAGCCCCCCCTCACCCCCCAACTCTTCTAGAGAAAGGGGTGATGCTCTAGAGTCTAGGTGTGAGGCTGGACCTCCTGGGCTGAGCCCCCCGGGACATGGCTTTCTGGGCAAAGGCAACCCATGCCCACTCCAATGGTGGGGATGAGGGAAGGGGAGAAAACGAGGCAAGCCGCTCTGCTCTAGCCCTGTCCCCAGTCCCTGCCCTGCTTGCCCAGTGGCCCTGCCCTGACCCCATCACACGGTCACTTCGGTCTTGCTGGCTGTGTAGCAGGTGTGGTGGCCCGGGATGTAGTGCAACTGTTCCACGGTGTTATGTCTGCGAGAGGCGAAGGCCTGGCGCTTGGCCGCCGTCTGGCTCTGGCCCAGGGTGGCATAGGAGTTATTGGAGGCACTGGGATGGGAGTGCATCTTGGTCATGCGGTAGCGGTCCAGCACGGGCGTGGACACAAAGACATCTGTGTGTGAGATGGCCCGAGACAGGGACTGCTCAGGAAAGGCCGTCCGCTCTGGGGACAGCAGTGGGTCCTGCGAGTGCAGGCGCTCGGTGGAGAGCATCTGCTCGTCAGACAGGATGCGGTCATAGGGCAGGCCGAACTCATCTGGGAAGCCCCGCTGTGGAGACAGGACCCTGTCCTGTGACATGGCCCGGATGGGCCGGCGGGGCCGTTCCCTTGGCAGCGGCTTCTGCTGCTGGGACATCTGGATGACGTTGAGAGGAAGGGTGCCGCGGGCGGCCAGGTCCGGCAGGTGCCGCCTCCGCATGTAATACTCGTCGGCCTCCTTGTCTGCTGCAGGAAGGGAGAGAGCGAGAGAAGAGTCAGCTGCATGACACCCAAGCAGGGCTGCACATGGTCGCCGCCCTTGGAGTTGCCCCTGACTCTTAGAGACCCATGGACAAGGGGTCAGACGATTGTGGTCCATCGAGTTTTCATTGTTAATTTTTAGAAGTAGTTTGCAAAGCCTTCCCCACCCCCGCCCCCACCCCCACCCCCAAGACATCTTGGTTATGCTTTGGGCTGCTAACTGCAAGGTCAGCAGTTCAAAACCACCAGCTGATCTGTGGGAGAAAGTCGAGAGTTTCTACTCCCCCAAAGAGTTGTAGTCTCAGAAACCCACAGGGGCAGTTCTACTCTGCCCTCCAGGGTCCTGACGGGTCAGCATGGGCGATGAAGTTTGGCTTGGTTTCAGTCCATCTGCTGGGAGCCTTGGTGGTGCGATGGGTTATGGGCTGGACTGTGAATCACAGGGTCAGCAGTGTGAAGTCACCAGTAACAACTCAGGAGAAAGACGAGGCTTTCGACTCCCTTAACGCCCCCATGTCAGAAACACACAGGGGCAGCTGCACTCCGTCCTGCAAGGCCTCAGGGAGTTAGACTCTTCCTTTGGTGGTACTCCATCATAGTCTGGAAGCCCCACTGAAACCTGTTAGGCATTGTGGCCACACCCAGGGTCCACTGACCGATGAATGGTAGCTGTGCATGAGATGCCGGGGCCATTGAGTTGATGCCGACTCACCACGATTGTGGGTGTCTGAGGCTCCAAACTTTCACAGGAGCTGACAGCCTCATATTTTCCTGGAGGAGTTGCTGGTGGGCTCAAACTGCGGACCTTGTGATAACAATCTAATGTATACTCTACTACGCCACCAAGGCATGCTACCAACCCCCACTCTCTGCTGTTCCCGACTCATAGCAACCCCACAGGACAGAGTAGAACTGCTCCCCAGGGTTCCTGAGGCTGTGAATCTTCATGAGCGCAGTGGACAGCCTTAGCTTTCTCCCACAGACCAGCTGGTAGGTTCAAACTGCTGACCCTTTGGGTAGCAGCCCAATGTCACTCATCGCTAACCCTTTTTAGTTACATGGATGAGGCCCGAGAGATCCAGAAAGGTGAGGGCTAGATGCTCCTGTTTCCTGGGCCACACTGGGCTGGGAAGAAGGTTAAAGTGGCCAAGTGGAAGACTAACCCAGAGCCCCTGGGCTCCCACCCCAGTGTTGCTTCTACCATCCCCTGTCCTGGGACAGAGTAACTGCCCCGTCTCTTGCTGAAACACCCAAGTAAAAGCCAGCAGCCTCCCAGTAAGGACTGGAGTGTCTTCAAGGAAGCAGGGTCCCAGCCTCCTCTTAGAATACAATGTGCTGCTGCAAGGAGGCCCTTTGTGGCATGCTCAGCTGGTCACTTAAGAACCAGGCAGTAACGCCTTCAAGGTACTGGAAGCCAACACAGCCAAGAAGTCCTACCACTGCCACTTAATGAGCTCACAGTGTGAACAGACAACGGCAGTCCTACATGAGTATTATTATCCTCACCAGCAGGTGGGCCTTTCCCGGATCACACTGCCCACTGGTCCCTTGTGCACCCAGGCCTGCATTGCTCCAAGATGCAGGTGGCTTCCTAGATCTCTGCAGAGTGTGGAAATGCTGACTGTTCCTCCCGTTTACTAGGGGGCCACTGAGGCGTCTGTGAGCCGTGCTCCATTATCCTGGGGCCTGTAGGGATTCCTTGAGAATTCCAGGATGCCAGCTCTAGCTGTAGAAACTCAGCGTTCTGCCATGGTGGTGGCTGATGTGGACTCAGGGGCTGACCTCCCACCAGGATGGGTTCTCCTGCAGCTTCCAGGTCTCTGGCTACAGCTGGAGTCACTGAGTGAGATTCACAGGCAAATGGTTCTGGAAGCCAAGAGGGAAGGGCTTTCCCTCAAAGCACTGTCTTGATTTTTTAGTTCATTAAATCCTTCAGTGTCCCGAACCTTCCAGTGGAAGAGCTGCGATCACTGGGTGTGTGAGAGTCCATTGATGAAGATGGGGTGTGTGCCTGGGAGATGGGGAGTCTCAGGCTTGCAAGATGGTGTTGGCTGGGTTAGGGAGGGAGCTGGCGATTGGGTCCCTCATTGTTCAGTGACTATGCAGCCCAGAGAGGAGATTCGGACAAAATTCTCTGACTATTGTTGGCCTCTGTTCCAAGATAAGATAACGAGCAAGGGAGACCCACAGCCTGACAGTGGGAGGAAAGTGGCTCTTGCAGTGAAATCATTCTGCATCCACTAGGCGCTATGAGGATGTGGATGGCGAGACACCAGCAGGAGGAAGAATGGCCTCAGGTGTCAAGAACAAAAATAACGGGCCTGGCTATTCTCTTAGTCCATCATCCACCACCCCCCAACCCGGCTGCCCCCAACCCCGGCCGCCCCTGCCTTCTTTCTTTGCTCTTGGGGTTCCAGACCAGCCCACTCCAGGGGAGGGCCCCAGGGAGACACCACTCACTTAGTCTCTTCAAAGAGGAGTACTTGCTAGGGTTCGTCTTCATGGCAGACTCGTAGGAGGGGGGCAGGTGAGCCAAGTTCTGAAAGGAGCGGGAGAAGGAGAGGTCATAGGGCTCCGTGGCTGATGTCAGGATGTTGTTCATCCGTGGTTTCTCTGCAAGGGAAGGGAGAGGGGTAGTGTATCAGCGAGGATGCACACCCCCGCGGGTCTGACAGAGGGAAGGTGGCCCGCCCCTGCTCTTCCTTTCCCTGGCTGGAATCCCCACCCTGCTTCGCGAGCTTCCCGTGCAGGTGAGGACACAGGTGGTGCTCCTGACTCCATTTCCAGCTGCCAACACACTCGGGGGTGAGTGCTATTTCAACTGCTGCGGCCACACAGCCATGTGACTCTAAGACAAAGGTGTGACCCCTTCCTCCTGGTCCTCACTGGGCTGCTGGTTGGAAATGTCAACCCATTAAAGTTGACGGCGCCTAAAAAGCATCTATTTCTGTGTAAAGGCTGTTTCTTCAACCTCACTCAGGCCCAGAACCACCTGAGTTTGAAGGAGATGGAGTAACTTGTCATGTCTCCATATAAAGAGAGGTGGGTATAGAGAGCATAGCTCTACTGAGACTCCAGCTAATGTCATTGAGCCTTTCATGTAGAATCTCCCCAATCCCGGGCCTCTCCCAGCGCTGTGCCTCATAAAGCACTGCGACCCCCAAACCTGTTTGAATTCCTTTCTCCAAAGCCACTGTAACCATCTCTGAACTGCTGGAGGAAAGAATGTGGGCAAATGCGTGTCACATCATCCCCTCCCCCTGCCCCCCCCACCCCAGAAAGCCTTGCGTTCACACACTCACAAGAGCAAGGCATATGGTGTGATGCCAAGCCGAGGAACAGCAATGTGATGGAGGAATGGGTGGAAGGGAAGAACTCTGGATAAACAGGGCGGGGCTTGGGGCGGGGCTACATTACAGATAACAGGAGACATGGTAGAGGTGATGCAAGTCCGGAAAGGGAGTGCCGGTGAAGATGGGGGGGGGGGGGGGGGGGTGGGAAGAATGGAGGTCCAGCTAGCATGCTTTGGTGTTGGATGACTGGAGGAAGCACAGTAACTTGTGGGAGACGACAGCTGGTTGCCTAGGGGAAGAGCAGGACCTTTCCTGGCAAGGATATAGTTGGGAGGCCTTCACCTTGCCTTAGCATTCCTTCATCAGACTTAGTTTGGGACACCTCAAGGCCAGAGAAGCACCACAAAGGGACAGGCTCTAGTGCTGGGCAAATATGCCAGAGGTCTGTGGCTCCCATACCCCTTGGCAAAGGAGGTGCTGACCCCTGGTAGACATGAGCACGATGAACCAAGGGATCTCCCTGCAGCTCGATCCCTTCCTGCCTGTACTGCCACCCACAGCACTGGAGATGGAGCCAAGGGAGCCCAGCCAATGAGCGGGTTCACATATGTGAGGGGGTGGGGGGAGGCTACATCCCCAAGGGATCAGAACATGCTGTACAGAAAGGAGCCTCCCAGGCATGGATCGGACAGATGCCCGGCAGTGGAGTGGGCAGACAGCTGGGAGGGCTGCTCACCACGCTGAGAATTCTTCACTAATCTCTTGGCTCTTGTTGCTTTGCTCCGTGCCATGCTTAGGCAGTAATAACGTCCCTCTTGTCTGTTAGCATCACACACCCACCAAGGCCAGCGTTCAGTAGCTCATCCACTTCCGAGTACATTTCTCAGTGTTCTTCCCTCCCACCGTGCTTTGTCACACTTGGCTGAGCAAGAGCCAGGGCTCCCTTGCCTCCTGCCTCTACGCCTTGTTTATACTCTGCTTCTCACTCCTCTATCACGCTAGGCTCACCACTATGAGAGTGTCACAGGGTTTTTCCAGCCCACAATGACCTCCCCTCGTGGGGCTCCTATTGTGCATGGAGTCAGTATCCTCTGATTACTGCCGAAGTAGCGGATACTGTCTGCAGTGACCTCCAGTCAGTTGACTTGGGCTGATGTTGTTGATGTCCAAGGACGGTGCTCTCCTTGGCAGCAGAAGCTTCTCTTTTCAGGTTCCCAGATAGATGCTTTCAGGGTGCGCTGGCTGCAAACGAGGATCCCATGGACTTCGTTTGGTTAGTTCACTGGGCACAGGCTCACCGCTCTTCTCTGACTAGCTAGTCTGCCAGTGTCTGGGGAAAGTGCACCATCAGGGGGGAATGCACAGAATCCATCTGCTCCCACTAGGCTGTGGATAGGGATGGAGTCGCATCTGGTTTAACTGGATGACCAAGTTGGAAGAGAGAAGGTGGGAAGAGGAACAGAAGGAAGAATGGATTCGCCTTTTTCTCTTCAGGAAGTTGTGCTTGTGTTGGCTCCTTGTGGGGAAAAGCAGCTTCGTTATTACTCTCTCAGAATCTTTCTAGGCAAGTGGAGCTCTCGTGGCTTGCCGCTTCTGCTCCGTGCTCTGCTTGTCTGCTGCTCCATCACTGTGCACACCCCCCAGGTCTCCAGGCTCCCTGCCCCTTGCTTCCTGCCTTTGTTAGGGGTTCAGTATCTCTCACATGCTCCAACTTAGTTTATTACCTCAGACATGTAACTTTCAGGCTTAATTTCTGTATTTCTAACTGCTCATCGAATGGTTTTTCATACAATGCCAGAGGTTGTATCAAACTCGAGGTGTTCGAATATAAACTCACCGCTGGCAGCCCCGTCCCTCCGCACTCACTGGCTACTTTCCTGATGTCTTAGGTTCTGCTAATAATACTGCTTTTTTTACGGGATCAGTCCTGACTCTTGATGCACCTATGCATGTCAGAGTCGAACTGTGCTCCTTAAGACTGGTACTCTGAGGCAGCTCACCAAACCTTTGCTCTGAGACTTCTTTGGGTGGGCTCAAACTGGTTCCAGTGTTGCGGTTCGTAGCTGTGCTTGTCAAACATTTGCAGAGCTGCCAATAATAACATTCCCATCTGTGTAACTTAAGTTTGTCTCCAACAATTTCTTCATACGAGGGTAAGTCAAAAAGCACAATTTCTACCACATTATACAAAATATCACTGAACAAAAATATCAATATAAGAAGCTATTATTTTCTGACCTATCCTCCATCTAGGTCTAGACACTTGTGGAGGCGGCATTTCCATCTCTTTCATCCTGCCCAGAAGAAGTCTCCACTCTTCAATGTACACCATATCAACACAGCTATTTTGGCATCCCCAAGCGACACAAATAATGTTCCTTTCCAGTGTTCTTTGAGTTTGGGAAACAAAAAGAAGTCCGAAGGAGCAAAGTATGGATGAGGTCAGGCTTTCAGGTGAAATTCTCAGGACAGCAATGGCTACCCTGGAGGAATGAGCAGGTACTTTGTGATGGGAAGACCGGTCCTTGGCACTAATCTTCATGATCTTTTCCCTCAGTGGCATCGTTTTCCATTTTCTTAAGATGTTCTCAGAAGAAGCCCTTGTAGTTGTCCCGTGTCTTTGAGGAGAATTTATGAAGATTGCCCCTCTGGAATTTCATAACCACCTGAGCTACCCTGTTTGCCTGGGATGAAACTGGCCCAGTACATCCCTTCAGAAGCCTCTGCTTTGATCGGACCATCTTTTGAAGGTGCCCGAACAAGACTAAGACAAGTGTTATTACTGTGAGAACTTATCCGGAGCTCTCTACTGATTGCAGAGATCCATTGAACCATGCAGGTTTGGAGTAAACTGTCATGGATGAACTGGCACTGGAGATCCAATACTTTTCAACTGAATTCTTGTAATTAATTCTCAATAGTCATTCATTTAGTAACTTAGTGCGCCCAAACTTGTTTCGCCATGTGGCATGCTGAAACTTCCTTCTACTTCCACTGTCAGCATCACTGCTGGCATCATTCTTTTCAACCAAGCTCTCCATTTTCTCCTGCCTCTAGTATCCTTAGGTCTTACAGACTGGAAAGCCTTATTCATCTCTCGCTTTCAACACAGATTCCCACCAGTAGCATAGCAATGGAGGGGCATATCAAAACCTGCCACTCCCTCCTAACTTTGATCTCTCTTAACCTCTACCTTGAGACAAGGGCAGAGCGTAGCTGCCATGAATGTGGTAGGTCTCCCTACTAGGTAAGGTAGAGATTTACTTTTGGTTTCCGTTTCGCCTCTCTCTCACTACAAACTTAATTATGGTTTCATGCATTCGCAGTAAAGAGGAGAAGAATGGCTGATAGTTCATCATTGACATGATTGTATCATGCTCTGTCAAGTTGGTAACAGGTGCTTCAAGTAGTCTTTCTCAGCAGTTCTATATGTCAAGTTGTGCTCTTGCGGGAGGGTGTCATAACCTATGAATGTAATGTGAGTTTCTGACCCTTGGTCCTAGGCTAACACTCCACTGCTCGGTCGGCACCCCTTGCCAAGAGGCTAACATCTGAACTTCGCAGTTGGGTTTTGAGTTTTATCAACTCTTGATTAGCTTGAGGTGGATAGATACAGTTTCTCAATTCTCATGTCACTAGTAAATGACACCAGGTGTACCTTGGGACAAAAGAGAGGGTTATACTCTTTGCCATGGTCACATGGTCCTTCTTCCAGCAAGACTTGCTCTTGATAGCTAGTGGAAGTAGCTTAAGGAAGGGTCTGGTCACATCCCTGCATGGGAGACGATCACTCTGATATCAGAGACAAACACCAAGGGGACAATGGTTGAAAAGTGAAAGTGGAGCATTGTGGCCCAGGGACTTGAGGCGCATGGTCATTGCAAACCCCCTTGGCGAGCATGAATCCATGACCATGCATTTGATTCCCTGATAGGCATCAGCAGTTAGTATGGAGCCACTTGGAATGAGGATGGAATACAGAATACTCCAGATCATCTCTCACCATGTGTAGGGGTCTGGGTAGCACTGCATAAAATCGGATGGTTATACTGATGATCACCTGAAAGTCACAGAAAGATATTTTTAAAGAAGGGTCCAGGCACTCCATTGTCTCTCCAACACAGCAGCCTTTCTCTGTAGTGTTAATATGATTCTCAGAGTCAGAGGAATACCAAGCCCAAACCCATTGCCACTAAGTCAATTCCAGCTCCTAAGGACCCTCAAGGACAGAGCAGCATTGCTCGCTCGGGTTTCTGAGACTGCGACTCTTTTCAAAAGCACAGAGCTTCATCTTTCTACCAAGGAGGCGTTGGTAGAACTTTTGGTTTGAACTTTCATCCTTGTGGTTAGCAGGCTAACTCCAAAGTCCGCTGTGCCACTGGAGCTCCTAAGTGAAGGGCAGGGGGGAAATGGTGAACAGCAGGGGAAGGTGCATTTGTCTGTGTCTCTCTTCCTGCCACAAGGATTCCTCTATTGTCATGGTGACCCACCCACAACTCTGGAATAGAGGTTCTGTGGAAAGGGTTCAGGTAGAAGGAGATGAGGAAGACGAATGGGCATTTGAGGAATATGTGGCCATGGGGTGGTCTAGTGTGACCAACCAGGAATGGAAAGTGGATTCTTCACTTTGTCTTTTATATTTTTTCCTTCTTGTTGGGCTGTGGTTAAGTAAGAATCAGGTGCCCTAACTTAAGGTGCTCATATTTTTTGGTAACTTTGATTTGACCCTAGGGCTTTATACATAGGCATCTGGAGCCACCTGGGTTTCAGGAAGCTGGAGTGAAATGCTCACTTTCCTGGATCAGGAGCTGTTGGTTCTAGGCTCTGTCTTGCCTCTAAGTGACAAATCCCAATATTTCAAAAAGCATCTCCTTTAATAATACAAATGTCCACCTAGATTGAAGGAGCCACAGCATTGATACAGCTGTAGTTGCCAAAGCCTAGAATTCAAGGCATGACAATTCAAGACTTCCGAACTTGGGATGAAAGCATGGAAGTAGGGCTTACCACGAATGCAGTATTGCTTTGATTCAGCCTTGTATCCTTGTTTTTCATTGTTGCATGCATCTCATTTCAATCAAAGCACGGGGAAGAGGAAGAAGATACCTTTCCATTCATCCATTCATCTCTACATAGATCACAGCTCTGTCATCTTAGCTGAGCTCGCGTATCTGCTTCTGTTTTCTCAACAATCTTGTTGCTGAAACTGTCTTTCCTCCTACCCACGGTGCTGTACTTGCTGCCTATTCCTTCTCTAGCTCTTCCACTCAAAAACCAAAACCTAAACTCACTGCCATCAGCGGATTCCAATTCGAGGTGACACTGTAGAACAGAATAGAACCGCCCTTGTGGGTTTCTGAGACGCTAGCTCTTGAAGGGAGTAGACAGCCTCATCTTTCAGGGCTCCTTTAGCTCCCTCTCTGTGTCCCATTTATTCTTGTACTCTTTAGATATGGGCGCCCCATAAGAGAGCTCAGCTCTACTTTAAGACTTCTGTCTTCTGGCTGAAATTATAGTTCCCAAGTCTACACACCTTTAGCCTGAGCTTCATCTGATCTGTAGGATTGGGTTTTCAGCTGCCCAAGGACCTCCCTTTGAAATTCCTGCCCTGATCCCAAACTGCTAAGTCTGAAAGTGAGCACATCCCTTTTGTTCCACCGTTCACACTTCTGCCAGGTAAACAAAATCCGTATTTTGGGCATGAAACTTCAGTTATCATCATCGTTTCTCACCCCACACCCCCTTCACTCTCCATATTCATTAAGTCCCAACGTTCTGCTGATCCTATCAAATGTCGCTTAGATGCTTCTTTTCCTACCTGATCCTATGCCCATCTCCTAAACCTAGGCCCCAAATATTTGCCCAAATCACTCGAATGATAACCACTTAGCTCTATTATCCATGAGCCTTTCCCAGACAGTTCATTCTGGGTACTCCCACTGGGAACAAAGGCCCCAAACCAGTGGAATCACCATGCCATTCCTTTGATTAACACAGGACCCTTTAAATAGCTAAGTGCACTATACAATGGGGAATATGTGTGGTCAGTAGAAGAATGTCTCACATGAAATACTGTTGTATGCCAAGACAGCTCATTAAGTTATATCCAGGGAAGAAACTATTTACCAGAGATTGAACCCATTCTACATCAGTCTGGAGTTCCAGAATTGAGAATTAAAAAAGGGAGTTAAAAGATAGACTTTTCCTGTTTGTCCTCCACAGGCAAGATTAAAAGCAGAAGTCACGTGTTTGTTTTTAAAGCAAACTGGCAGTATTACTGAGAGAGTCCCAAGAAATGGGAGACTCCAGGCTGAATGGTGGACAGTGAGAGTTATAAGGAAGCACTTTGAATCTTCCATCTCACAGTCTGTTTGTCACCAGGAAAGGGACGTGGGAGAGTCAGAGTTAGTTAATATGGTCTGTGCTAAGTATTTAAAAAGTGAGTTCTAAATGACTTCCACTTGAAAGAGGAATGGTGTCGGGTAGAATGAATATGAATTATTGGCCTGCCATTTGCCAAACATCGACTAAAATGCTAACCACTTTATTTGATCTAATTTTTACAAAATGTTAATAGACATGGTCACAAACACAATCTTGCATTTTGAATTAAGACATTTTGTATTACAAGTTCAATGATTCTCCATTTGTTTGAATATTGCTTAGCATATTTTACTAATATTTGATTAGCTTTAAGTGAGAAAATTAAAACTTCCCCCAAGTAACCACACTGACATTTTGCTGCATTTCCGTACATTCATCCATAATGAATAACCAAGTGTGTTCACACACACCAAGACAATAAATACTGCAACCAAGAACCTTTTTCATTTGCTATTTTTCCAATGTGAGAAGCAAATGATGGTTTTTAACATGGGAGAAGGCATGGCAATTTGATCCACACACGTGGGCAAAATGATAAATGTGTGAAGATATTCATGTCGGCATTAAAGCATCCTGGAGTGCAACCTGTGTGACAAACCATTTGCCATTATAACCGCTTTTAAGTGTATAATGCCGTGGTAGCATAGCCACTAGGCTCATGCAACTTGCACCACCGCTCTCAAGGTTTTCATCTGCAAAAGAGTCCTCACACCTGGACCTGTCGACACCATTCCAATAGACGGAGAAATGCTCACGTCGTCAAGGCTCGTATGCTACCTGCACTCACAAACCACATTCCTGGAAACCGCAGACAAGAAAACAGATGACGTGCTGCACGGAGCAAATCCGCGTCTGTCAAAGGTTAAGGAGCAAAGATGTCACTCACAGGTCTCAGGTGTGCCTGGCCCACGCCATGGTTATTTTTAATTGCCTCAGATGCATGAGAAAACTAGGTAACGTATAAGGCATGGAAATCAATGCTTTTGAATTCTGATGTTAGTAAAGAATGTTGAACGTATCATGGACCGCCAGGAGAGCACACAGATGTGCTTTAGAAATGAAGTATAGAAGCACGGATGGTGAGCGTTTGTCTCATGTACTCTGGACATGCTCTCGGTGAGGGGGACCAGTCCCTAGAGAAGGACATCATGCTCAGTAAAGTAGAAGGGCAGAAAAACAAAAAGAGGATGGACTGGCACATTAGCTGCAATTGTGAGGATGGGGCAGGACTGGGAAGTGCTCTGTTTTGTCTTACCTAAGTGTTGTCCTACCTAGCGTGTTGCCATGAGTCAGAACCTACTCAAGGACAGTTGACAATAACAACCTACGCTCCCAAGCACCTACCGATATGACCATAGAATGAGAAACGTCTTCACTGTGCACCATTCATGCATGCCTTGGAAAGATCCTACTCGTTACGGTGTTATGCTATTTCATTTTGATAATGGATTCTATTTACAAATGTGACTATATTTCTAAGTAACATTCATCGTTTTCTTTTTGTGTGTGAGTGCTGTCAGGATTTTGTATTAAGATAATGGTTCCGTCAAGCCAAAGGAGAAGCATTCCATCTTTTTGCGTGCCCTGAAACCACTCATATTGCATCGTAAAGTCTCCGTGCTTTGTAAGCTGGAAGGACTGCAAACATAACAATGCCTTGTTGTCTTTGGGGCAGTCAGTTTTCACCAGAAACTTACCTTTTGCTATTTCACTTTTGGCATAGTGATCACCAATTTAGAGCCAAGGAAACTCAGGTTTCTCAGTGCCCCCTGTTCCCTTATGACTCATAACAAGTCTATAGGACAGAGTGGAACCACCTCGGAGGCTTCCTTTTGTTACAGGAGCAGAAACCCTCGTCTTTCCTCCTGTGGAGTGACTGTGGGCTTGTACTGTCGAACATGCTTAGTTAGCAACCCCATGGGTAACCCGCTTTGTCATCAGAGCTCCTTAACGCAGATGGAAGTTAAATAATCTCCGAAGTATACATCACTAGCAGGTGAAGCTGGTGTGCAGCCAGTCAGGTACCTACGAACCATTATCCTATAATGCCATCTCAGAGTTTGACGAATTTTTCTTTACATATTGATTCATTAGCATTTTTTAATTCTAAATTTAATTTGTAACTTCTATTTTCCTTAAAACCATTGGGAATGTTCAACTTTATTAACATAAAACATTGCACACACACACACCCTTTTTTTAAAACATAATTTATTTTTAATTTTGTGTGATTATGCGTACTGGATTCAGTCACACAATGTTTCCAAAGAAGTAGCTCTTCTGCATAGCAATCCTATTCTTTATTTCATTTTAAAGTTCATTGTTTATGCTCTTGAACTTATTAACTCCTGCCTCCTGGTTTTCTTTTTCTTTTGTTGTTATTATTTTCTAGTTCCTCAGGTTAAATCTCTTGTCATTTCATTTTGTGCTTTTCTGTTGAGGGTCTATCTAAGGGTTGTCCATAATGGATCTGTTTGGGGCACTCTCATAGAAGCAGCCTTATCCTTCTGTTCTAAATAGGCAGTAACTGCACATTGCTCTTCGTTTTGACCCACACATTATTGAGTAGAGTGCTGTTTCAGTTCTAAGTGTGTCTGGATTTGTTGGCTCGTATTCTCACCATTCATTTACTGTTTTATTGCTGTGGTCAGAGAATGAGCCCTGTACAGTTTATGC